TCGACCTTGCCCGTGCATTTCAGGCCTTGGTTTTCAGCAAATTTACTGATCGCAAGAAACAAGAGGCTCACAGATCGACTCTCGATGTCATCGCTCTCAGCCTCCTGCTCAAGCGCATCAGTTGCTGCTGCTCTTGGAGAGAAAGCGCTGCCCCTCCTCGCTGCTTGCTTCTGCTTCTTGTTCCCCTGTACCTGAGTCCAGCGCTGCTTGCCCAGGTACGCTCTCAGCTTTTCCTTCAACATGTTGCGCTTCGATCCCAACGACGGCGTGGCTGCCCAAGCTCCGAGCGTCATGAACTCGACGTTGCCCGGCGAGTAGAAGGTGTCATGCAGCTTGCCGACACTCTTGTCTAGCTCCAGCGAGATCGGCTTGCCAGCAAGTAGATCCTCCTCTGACGTCTCCAGGAGCATCGTCGAGAGGTCGACCAAGACCTGCTGGTCGACTGGTCCTGACGGCGAGGCCGCCTCCAGAGTAATCCTGTCGATGTCGCTGAGCTCCAGCCATCCAGCGCCTTGCTGCTCCGCCTGTGGCTCCTGAGCCTGCTCCTCGCTCTCCTCTTCATCCTGAGAGCTCCACTTGAAACCCACAGCTTCCAGCTTGACTTCCAGGGTCCCTTCCAAGTAGAAGGGCATGTCGTCCATCAGACGTCGAGCCTCTGCCTTGGTCGCCAGGGAGAGAGTTATCAGGCTCCCATCCCAGCTCAGCGTGTCTCGATCTTCTTGAACCTCAATGCTGGCAAGCTTCAGGTTCATTCTTCTTGCTAATTCCAACATGGCTCGCTTGACTCGCGTGGTCGATGTGTTACCTCCTCCGCACAGTGCTTCCATCTCCTTCCTCGAAAAGCGGCCTGTGCTCATGCTTGACTTCGACTTGATCTGCACCCTGAAACTGCCGCTTGGAGCCTGCTCCCTGTCGCGAAGTACCTTCCTCTGCTTGGCAATCTTTCCTCTCGGCACGAAGGTGTCTGCTGTGAGCTCGACTGCAAACGTCTCTCTGAGCTTGGCGTCGTCGCTGACGAGAGTCAGGTGCACCCCCTCCATCGCCTCGCTCTCTCTGAACGAGGCCAACGTCTGCTCGCAGCTGGCCGTCGATGGGCAGGATAGTACCCACTCGAGCTCTCTCTGCTGCAGAGCTCCGGTGCTTGCTCCAACAGCAACATACGTCTTCGGGCTCGGCCCCTTGCGACCTCTCTGCCCAGCACCCTCGACCTCTCTGCCCAGCACCCTCGACCTCTCTGCCCAGCACCCTCTAAACCCTAAACCCTAAACCCTAAACCCCTCTGCAGGCTTTTCTTGGTTTCCTCAGCCTCAGGCAGGAGAGCTGCCTTTTCTCCCCTTCGGTTGCCTCCTGCATCCTCTCCTCCTTACTGACTCGTCGGTCGCTCTTCGAGTCCTAAACCCTAAACCCTAAGGCCCTCTTGCTTCAAGTTCCTCTCAGCTCAAGCTCGGTACGGGCCGCACTCGCCCCGTCTCCTTCCTCGCCCTCGCCTTGCTCTTCTTCCATGTCCTCCTCCTCTTCATCAGCTTCCCTCATCTCCACCCGCAGTCGGTCCTTCTTGTCCACCTTCAGCGAGCAGGCCAGCACATGCATCTCTGCGAATTTACTCAGTGCTATGAAAAGGAAGCTCAGAGATCGACGCTCTATGTCGTCGCTCCCCGCTTCCTGCTCAAGCTCAGCGGCTGCCGCCCTAAACCCTAAGCAGGGTGGGATCAGACGTGGAGGGGTGGGGAGCACTTGGAAGGACCTAACCACGACTGATACAAAGGTTCACTCAAACACCTGTACCCTAATGAAACCTTCCACCCCCTCCGCTACCCTACCCTACCCCTAAGTTCCGTGACCGCAGAGTTGCAGTGGGCACAGGCAAGGCTCTTGATGGCAGTAGCACAGGTAAGACTGCATCGATGTGCATCGTTGAGTCAAGGCCAATGCGACCTCTGATTGACGGTATGTACGTCATTTGATCGATTACTAGTTATCGCTGTTCATTGCATTGCAGGCAGACTTTTGGTTTGGCTTATCATGGAAGCATGAGGTTGATTGGGATACCTGGAAATAGAAAAATTAATGGCATGTCGCATGACACGGTTGAACAAGTGCCAATGGTCAACTCATTTCTGGAAGCCCCGTCCTCCCCTCCATCGACAACGCTTGATTCAATCATTCATCTTCCTTCCCGCCACTAGATTGAGTTCGAACTGTTAAGGGAAAACAGGATGGCAAGTAGATCAAATTTCTTATCAAAATCTGCAGCAATGCAGACTTTGCAGAGCAATGCAGCTGATTTAAGTTGTCACCAAAGGATAAAGTCTCAAATGCAGAATTTTCAAACAATCGAGAATTATTGTGCCTCGGAAGGACCCTGACCAGTGAACAAAGGAATACTCTGTATTCATTTCATTCGCTTATAATCTATCCTACATGGTTGCGATTCTCAAACAGGTACATGATAGCACATGGATGGCCCGCTAGATTGTGTGATTTTCTGAGTGTTCTTCATACTTGAAATGAAAGTAATCAGAAGTAAGAAACTAAAACTAGGATCACGTTAATGTTAAGCAGCTGAGATTTCATTCAAGCTTCATTGTGACGATTTACTTTTGTTTGGCATTCGCCCAATGGCAATTCATGAAGCACAAGTGCAATGATGACATTGATGATACGCAAGAATCTTGTTAGAATCCAAGAATTGGGCTCGGAAGTTTTCACTGATTCATCCACACCATAGTAAGCACAGATTCCAAGTGAAATCTAGGCATTGGTCCTGAAAATCCTCCATACATTTCCAAAGACAACTAGGGTGGGACCTGCACTCATTCTCTTTGTCCGATGTTCCTTCATGTGCGTTCAAACGTAAGAATGATTCGCTTTTTTGAGTGGTCCGTCGAAGTGTACTTCTCCACCACACTCATCCAATCCACATCTCTTAGAAGCCACGTTTGAGTTCGCACAATGAGATTTCCTCTTTCAGACATGGTGAGGCCTCTCTCGTCGAAAGCTTTAAGACCGTTCATTTCTCATACAAGCACTCAGCAGCATTGTAGCTGCCTTTCGAGTAGTCTGCCACTACCCCCGGATAGCACAATCCCCTTGGGCAATACTTGCTCCCGGTCCCTCGAGTACATCACCGCTGCACACAGCCTTGGCGACGATGACCCCGGCAGTAGGGCAGTAGTGGCCGACCGGACAGACCACGCTGACGTTGGGATCCGCGCTAGCAGACGCACCTGTACGGCAACTTGGAGTGTCCACGTCTCAGACGTGACTCGAGCCTGGGCCTCATTGCAGGGTTTAGGATTTCGAGCGCTGGCAAGTGTTTGGTATAATTCAAACAGCTTTCTAAGTATAGTTCTTAAGTATGATGAAAGTGTTCGCAACATGCTGTATCGGAGATCATGCCAATACATGCAGGGCGAGCACAGCTCATGCTTGCAACTTGCAACTGAAGGCTGTGGCGGGTTGCACCCCCGACGCTATCGCCCATCCGCACGACATGTCCGCAGGCACGACGTGAGTTTTCTACAAGGAGCGATGAATGAATGGAATGAAGCATGAGAATAGGTTGACAACACTGGCTCGACTCAAATACAAGTTCATATCCAACACACTCTATAATTTTGCTTGAGTAATGACGCTACAAATGATTTGATCAAGGTTAGCATATTGATTTGATTGCGCTGGATCAGTTTATCTACCCATGTACAGCCTCATCATATCGCTTCTGATAAATCCCCCATTCCCCGGCTTCCCGTTCTCGCCCTTCATTCCGTCTCCTCGTCCCGTCGCCTGTTTATGTACGCAGCTGACCGTCTTGAGCTGGCACAGAGGTGCTCGCTTCTTGCACACAACTGTTTGATGTCTCTGCGTTTGCTTGGCTTGAGCACATGTGTGATATTCAGACACAAAACATCCCGGGATGCTCCGAGTCAGCTAGTCATTAGCCCACAACATGTCTCAAGTATAGACAATCGGGCAACCTGCAGTCTAGCTCTCTCGGCTCGCCCATACTCTTTCTTATGCTCATAGATGACCATCCCACAACTACCGTCCTACGACTGTGAGTGCATATACTCGTTAATGATGTCTCAGCAGATATCGAGTTGTAGTCTTGTCTACATTTACTCCAATTACAAACGTCTAATGATCCTCGAGCCATTCTGCATAAATGCGGTCTAGCTCAACTTCGTGAACAATCTTGTGAGGCAGTCTGTCCCGCCATTTCGGGTCTTCGAAGTTGTACTTCCAGGTCTTGGAAGATCCACAGGCGTAGCGTCCAACCCACCTCTCTGCAGCTGAATGAAAAATGGCATCAACCATCCAGTCACCGCCATCAGCAGATTCAATAAATTTGTAGAAAGGAATGGGTGGGCTCCATGCGGTCTCAAACTTCAGATGAAAGGCAAGGTCGTCGCGTTCCCATGTGGGATCTGGGACATCCCACTTGGTGCCATAACGCTGAACATTCCAATGGAACCAATCAGCCGAAGCTGGACGTGGCAAGAAGTGCCCAAACAGTCCTATGTCGCCCTGCACACCCTCCATGTCAAGCCCCTTGAGAAATGTTTCGAAGGATTGCGCTCTCATAGCACATGCAGCACACATCACCACGCTATTGTAGACCATGTCAGGCATCCTGTCTGTCGCAACCTTCAGACCGCGGAGCGGCAAACAAGCCTCGCCCCACCCAAAATGCCAGTACGGGTGCGTAGTTATGTCTCTATGGTCCGTGGTCGGGTTGGGTGGGCCTTGGGGTGGGTCATCCTGGGGCTCAATAGGGGGTATCCGCAAGTTGTCTCGGTGGTGACCTTGCCCGAGGGAGGGTGGGGTAGGGAACCACCCATGGGCAGGGCAGGCAGCCGCCGGCGGTAGGCAGACCTACCACGGGCTTTGCTGTCTTTCTGTCCGGCAGAGTTGCACTGACTTACAACTATATATATATGTCCGAGACTGTCACATCAGTGTCACGAGTAGTGCCAGTCAAAATAGCTTGATCGGTCATCGGACAAGCCTTGCCAGTTGATGCCAGGCTGCTGGTGAGGTCACCGGGCCCCGATGCAGTAGGGCACTGGCCGGTGGCAGTTGAACCCGGTGAAGCCGGGGATGCAGTGCCGCAGCGGCGGCCCCCGCCGGGCCGGCGGCCGGCCGGCGGGCCGCCGCCCGGCCCTGAGTGCCGCGGGGCGGCGGACATTGAATTGTCTGTTCACAGGCAGGACCTTCTTTACTCAAAGTTAAGTTAAAAATCAGTTCTGTTCAACTAAGTTCCGCTCAGGCTTTGCCCAGCAGGTTTCAAGTAGTACTCGGAGTTCCACCCCCCGGTGCAGTTTTTCGAATATACTAGAGTGAGTAGGTAGGGCCACCCCCGTGCAGCAGGCAAGTTTTGCTTTGCGGCTCTGACTTAGTTTGCCGCGCCCGTCACGAAGCGGCCACAGTCACTCAGTGCCGGCCGGGCGGCGGCCGTAGCCGGCCAAGGCTGAGGGAAGAAGCCGTGCCAGGTCGAACTTCGGAAATGGACCCAGTGTGAACCGATTTCGCAGTTGGCAGGATTGGGTTTGGTTCTCGCTGTCTTTGCTCTTCTCGCCGTTTGGCCTGTGCGACAGTGTCAGGGTCAAGCCTCCTCCGAGGCTCCGGCGCTCGGACTCTCGGAGGCTCCTGCCACTGACCGATTGTCCTCGTACTGATTTTTAACTTAACTTTGAGTAAAAGATTTCAACTAGTCACTCTGACTAACGGTGGGTTGACTAAAATCATAATAAATCGGGAGGTATGGTGAGGACGATAAAGGGGGGAGGGAGACACAGAGGCGTTGGAAAGGAGATGTGAAAGGCAATACCACGTCAAGAAGGAATCCTTCAAGTCAACCAGTTGATCTTGCGAAAAAGTGCATGCCATCTTATTCAGGACTGACGACACTTGCAGGAGCGCTGGACTCCATATGCCACCGAACGTGTTTGTCCTAGAGGGCAAGGGGGGATCAGCCTCTCCTCCTGCCATCATTATTCTCTTTGGCTGGCTCGGAGCACCTGAAAAACACCTGATGAAGTACGGGGATATGTATCGCTCAGCGACGAGCGGCATTATTATCGGGACAACAGCGTCCCCGTTGGATATCATGCTGAGGAACGATCGTAAGCTTTGCGAGGTCGGGATCGAAGCCTTCCGAAAGGCTTCATCAGCTCTGCATGTGCATGGAGATGAAGCAAAGCTATACATCCATTGCTTTTCCAACGGTGGAGCGTTCTTATGGGACGCCTTGAGGAGAAGGATTGAGCGATGCATCGAGGCGAAAGATGGATACTCCAATCCAGATGCCGAGCTGCTAAAGTTCACTCACTCAAGGCTTGCAGGGCAGGTGAAATTCCCTGATCCGACTCGGTAAAACAACACACATTGAGCGTTTTGATAGATTTTTGACTCGTCGCCGTGCTATCTGGTGCCAAGCAAGGGATTATCTGCCATTGGCATTGCCATCAACAGTCTCATGCCTCGCTTGTTGGTTCAGACATTTTTCTTCCTGCAAGTCACCTTTCAGGCCTTGTATGATTTTTTCACATTACAGCGACAACTGCCTCAGCGATGGTGGGACTCCTTGATAAAATCACCTGCGATCGGCAAAGAACTTTACCTTTACTCTGATTCAGACCAACTTCTTGATAAGAATCACCTGGAGATGGTATTTACTTTGCTTGATTATGTATCATTATGACTTTGCTATGTTCAGCTAATTGCAAAGCGGCGGGAAAGAAAAGTTCTAGTCGAGTCTCATTTGTTTCATGGAGCCGGCCATGTCCAATTGTTTAGAAATGAACCTCAAGAGTATTCTAAGAGATGTCTCGCGTTTTGTGATCTATAGATTTGAGACTGATACAACGTGTCACAAGAGCTCGAAATACTGCTGCTGCTACATAATGCTACTGCTACTATGAGTTGACCTGCTGTTCTTGATCGTTGCAATGAAGACTTGTTTTGCAAGCTATACATAGCGGAGCACGATCAGATTTTGTTTTTGCAATTTGCTAAGTGGACTGGGACTGCCTCAATGAAAAGCTGCTGTTAATGTATGGGAGAGTTTAATTGTCTCTATTGCAGTCCCTCTTAGGAGGTCCTTGCCAGAACGATCTTGGGCCTTAAATCTTAGGCCTTAAATGAAGACAAATCCAATCATCAAAGGTACTCTCTGTCGCACATTCCATGTATTTACTCGAGAGTTGCTTGCCCCATCGTTCCCAGCCAGATTCATTTTTGACTGAGGAGAAACGCTCCAGGAGTTCGTGAAAAACAGCTTTGCTCAAACATGATAAAAGTGCTGGAAATGACGTCTTGCAACAGGTCTGCATTTTTTCATGATATCAAACGAAAAGACGGGGAGAGCTGAGGAGCATGGACTGGCGAGTACATGAGCAGTACTGTTGTGTTAAACAACGCAAGGACATTTCACGAATGATGTATGAGTGAGGGAACTCTACATGAAAGCACTTCAACTAGGAAGATTATATTATACATGCACATCTCAGCTAAAATCCATATCAAGTTTGCACATGTTGCATAACTTCTTGAAAGATTTCTGCTTGGAAGAATGAATTGAATTTCCAAGAGACATAGCCATCTTCGCACGTCTGCAGAACACAGTCTGATAATTCGTCTGTGCAAGCGCTCGAGGATGACGAAAACGTTTGGCTTGACGTGTCTCCGTCTTCAGAAGAAGGGGAAGAGAATTGAAAAATGCTACTTGACGTTTTCGGGCCGGTGGCATCTGCCCAATTGTTGATCCCAACGTATTTGCATGCATTCTTTAAAGCTGTAAGCGATATGTCAAGTTTTTCAGCTGCTTCACGTTGACTGTACTGTTGATACTCTTGAAGAGTTTCCTTGTCCAAAGTAATGGGCAGTCTGTTATTTTTTTCTTCATTCTTCCTTTTCCGAGGAATTACAGTAATTTTTAGTGGGGGGAGGTTTTGCATAAATGAATGTATTTCGTAAGTGATTCCTTGCTTGGTGTAAAGTATGTCACTCAATCGTATGTAGGCAAGAATGTAAAATTGCCATGCACATCTGTTGTTTAGCACGTGTTGCTAAGAATTTAAATGTCAAATGCACAAACTAAGATGTTCGTTTCTGCTATAGGTTGAGCGTGAACTGAAAGATGACTATTTTGCTTGGCGCTTGAACGGTAAGAGGGAGAAGAGGAAAAGAAACAACAGACGCAAGAACGAAACAACGGATGTACGCGAAGTGGTCGGCGCGGCTTGTAATAATAACAGGCTCGCACAAAAGGAAGAGGATGGTATCGACAGATGCAATGGGTACTTCACATTGAGTGGGTAGTTTCCTTTTGATAAAGGGGGTAGGGGGTAGTGGGGGAGTGTTTTACCTGATCGAGACAGATGGAATCCAGTAGGGTAGGGTACTTGTTTTAGTGGGTAGTTTCTAACTTGATGAAGGGGGTAGGGGGTACTGGGGGAGGGTTTTACCTGATCGAATGGGGTAGGTCCAGGGGAACAGTTTTAGTGGGACGTCGATTGAAAAGATGTCTTTTCCGAGGTTAAAGTTTTTAAATGTCAAATAGGTTCAAAATTTGAAAATCCGGTTTCCTTTTGAAATGCCATGAGGCGGGCCGGTTTCAACCAGGAGTGGCGTGCAGGCGGTTCAAACATGAGCAAGATGGCGGGAGTGGTTCGGGGAGAGCGAGCTAAAGCTTGTCTGCAGCAGCAGCGCTCTTCTCCTTCAACATTCTACAAGAGCTCCTCCTCTGTCTATGGGTCCTCGTCTCCATGCTGCCGGCCCACTTCTTCTCACTCCTCTGCACCCTCCAGTGCAACTCCCGTCCGCAAAAATTTTCACAAGGAAAACCTCAACCGGCTGGCCTTTCTCGAGGAACAGAACCGCAAGAAAAACCAGCATTACATGCCACATGACGGAAAGGAATCTCGATCTAGACACCCGAAATCGACTGTCAAGTTTATCAACGATCAGGATGAAGAGTGCGACAGCGATGCTTCGAGAAAATCTACCCCTGAAAAGACTCCAAACAAGACTTGCGGATCAGACGACACCTCTTTCAGTCTTCGTTCAGCTGGACAGCCAGATGTCCTGACCCATGTCCAACGGAGCGGCAAGGAGGTCGCTGTTGAACGATTGCACAGCACGTCACTCAAACAAGACAAAAACCGGTTCAATGTCTTTTTCACACCCTGCGGTATACCGTACACTCAAGTTCAAAGCCCGCGGATCAGAAGGGAGAGAGATCTCATCGACAGGATTGAAAGCTCCCTCCCGTCTGACAGCCGCCTCAATTTTCGACCGACTTCAGCACCGGAACGGAAGCTCAAACCAGGCGAGATACCAGGATACTTGTCACGAAGGAAGCAGGAAGCCAGAGCAGAGGCGGTCAGGAGAGCCGATGAAGCGATGAAGGCCTTGGTGCCCCCAGGCTTTCGGTTGATTGAAGAGGCAGAGAAGGTTGTCAAAGATCGAATGCGTGTGATGTGTTTGACGTGCTTGTCAGCGGTCCCTGCTGGCCGAGGTTCGAAGATTATGGGAGGAAACCATGTCGGAATATCTCAAGCTCCCAGTGCAAGGCTTGACGCCGTCTAAGGTCTGAGCTTTCACATAGAGGTGTGAAGCATTACTTCATCCTAGGTGCAGAAGCGACGAATGCTTGAGAAAACAATCGACGACTTGGAGGCGAACATCAAGATTTTCCAGTCCGATGACTCTCTCATTTTACCTGAAACTTTCTCTCTCTCGACCTTCCGACCAGCCATGCCGCCCATGTCAGAGGGCCAGCGAATCAAGATGCTAAACGATAGGCCGAGACCTTTCTAGCTTTCTTGCTGCCAGTTAAGCTGTAATCTTGAGCGTGTTGCATGTGAGCCTCGTGTATTATGCTAGGTCGCAGTCTCGCGGTAATGCGTACACAGGTATGCTAGACAACGAAGAGAACTGAGGTGACTGATATCTGCAAATAATGAATCAGAAGAAAACATCTCGGATGTAACACTCTCACTCATGCAGCTCAGACTGCAGGAACATCGATGTTTGCTCTGAAGTTATCGGGGTCCTCGGCGCTCTTTCCGGCGATTTAAGCTGCAAAAGCGCCTTGAGACCACACCAACACTCACGAGCGCACGAAACTCACCTTGGATCCGGAGCTAAGGTCTTGCTTCACTTCGCTCGAGGGCGTGCTATTCAATCCTGGTAGGCTGGAACTTTGGCAAGTATCCGTCTTCGAAGGGGTTAGAAAGGATGCCGGATTCGAGGCTAACGCCCCGTTCAACGATTGTGGAATGAAATTCTGTGCAAGCGAATTGTTCGACTGATTCAAAGATGAAGTCTGCTGACTGAGCGAAGCGTTTGCGAACGGCAGAGGCATAGACGAGGAAGGGGCCTGGGTTGAGTTTCCTCTGATGCTGTTGTGCTCTTGTACCTTTGTCTGCCAGCTCTAATTCCAAGTCAGTCGACAAGATTTTTGCGGAGATAAAGAAACACCTGCATGAGAGTGTTCACGAAATTCGGATCGTTCATTCCCGAGTTGTAATATTGCCCAAGAAGCGACATATGTTGCATGATAGCCTTTGATGGTTTTTCAATCTATTCATCATCTTGGATCTCCACGAAACAAACAATTTCAGACCTGATTGACGTTCGATGCTGCACTCGAATTTCCATCGCAACCTCTACCTCCCACTTTAATGTATTCCCAACGGACCTGTCACGCATATCAAGAAATTTTAGAGCGAAGAGCCAAGTTGCCTCTTCCGGCGAAACATCGCCATCGACATCGCAGGGAACAGAGAGACAATCCTCCTGGCGCGAGGTAAGTTGGAGAATCAAGAAAGTCTCTGACTGACTCTGTGGGTGAAACAGGATATGGGCCAAATCTTGTTCGCAGAAGACCTTTGAACCATTTCCAAGTCAGCGAGCGACATGGCATCGAGAGCCGATGATCCGATGGGCACGAATGGAGGAAACAACCTGTAGTCCATCAGATTTTGAGCGATTCTGCTTGGATTTAAATGCGTGTTGAGCGCTTGTGGCAAATTGGTATTTTGTCCGCCTTGCATCGCAAACGATGAAGCGTTGTTTTGATTCTGTTGGAACGGATTGCCAGGACTGCTTTGCTGCATCCCAAACCCTGTTGTCCTCCCATCAAATCTTCATATCAATCATCTCTCTATCATTCCCATCTCGATCTCGATCTCGATCTCCATTTCCATCATGATCGTCACCGTCATTATCATCAAATCTCATCTTTTGCTTTCTTCTCTCACCTTGGTTGCTTCCAAAACCTCCGCCAGAGGCAGTACCGAACCCACTGGCCCCGAAGCCATTCGGAGTTGCACCCACAGCCCCGCCAGGGCTGCCGAACGGGTTTGCGTTGCCGCTGAATCCAGAGCTTGCGAAGGGATTGGAGGCAGCAGCAAAGGGGTTAGAGGCAGCGGCGAAGGGGTTGGAGGCAGCCGTAAAGGAGTTGTTGAAGGAGTTGTTGGAGCTGAAGGGATCGTCGGGTTGAGAATGCAGGAACCTGAAGACAAGTCAGAAGCCGGTCAACAAGCGAACATGCAAGCCTGCATCGATCGCCAAACTGACAGGATCCTGGAGTGCCATTCCAGTTTCTGCAGCGATCCTTGGTGGAGGACCGACCCGAGTCGTTGTTGCCGCTGTGCAGAAATCTGACGGGAACATCAGGGTTCGCACACAACAAGTTCATGTTGCCACCTGCAATTGTTTCCGAAGGAACAGGAGCCTGGAGTCCCATTCCAGTTGCGACACACTGTTTTGTTGGAGCCACGCGATTTGGACATTTTTGCTTCTGTTTCGATCTATTGCAATCGCCTTGCACTGTTGAGGTTTATCTCAGCATTCCTGGAAATCAAATTTGTCATGGTCGGGATTCATTCTTGACATCATAGACGTGGAGCATTAAGTTATTGTTGCAAAATTCCGTGATGTTCGATGACGCGTCTTGTTCATGCTGATAGTTCGATATCGATGTCATCTTGTCTAAATAGTGAGAACTAAATACAGAAAAACGTCTGTCGCAAGGAGTGTGACTCATGCAATCTCAAATGAACTCCATCACGCCTTCACTCACCAATTGAAATACTCTCAGACTTGTTCTCGCTCTCTTCATCTCTCATGCTTGTTCTCGCTCTCTTCATCTCTCATACTTGTTCTCGCTCTCTTCATCTCTCATGCTTGTTCTCGCTCTCTTCATCTCTCATGCTTGTTCTCGCTCTCTTCATCTCTCATACTTGTTCTCGCTCTCTTCATCTCTCATGCTTCTTCTCGCTCTCTTCATCTCACAATTCGAGCTGCATGCTATCCGGAGCCGGGGCCGGGTCTCCCGGGCCGGCCAGCAACGAGGACAAATAGTTGTCAATCCTGCCGGTGCCAGAGCGGTCAACCGTTGGTGCGGCAGGAGACAGCAATGGAGGGCGAGACAGGAGCCCCGGGAAATGATGCGGAGGAGACAGCAGAAGACACCAACGAAGCTGCTCAAGCTGCTCAAGTTGGTGCGGCAGGAGACAGCAATGGAGGGCGAGACAGGAGCCCCGGGAAATGATGCGGAGGAGACAGCAGAAGACACCAACGAAGCTGCTCAAGCTGCTCAAGGCAGCACGGCAAACGCTCCTCGAGAGGTTTTTAAATAGAATTTCAAGTTGCGGGGGTATTACTATCAGGCTCCCGCTTATCGAGTGGCTGCTCTGTGCGATCTTGGCTCCACGTATAGAATCATAGGAAATCTGGACAAATCGGATGAAATGGTTCCATTTGATGAGCTCGCTATCATTTGAAAGTGGCTGACTCATCTTACAGTTTCGTGAGGCTCTTTCAATAGATCCTCACAATGTGCGCACTCTTTCACACTATGGTACCTTCTTGTACACCGGCTGCGTCGACTATGATCGAGCAGCCGAGGTGAAGTGGATGCAGTTGTGTTCCATGGTCGATAGTTGACAAACCTCCTGGCAGTGCTTTGAGAAGGCACTTAGAATCGACGACAGCCATGTTCTGACGCTTTGCTGTAATGAGTTCTTGCCTTTGCGAACCAGGAATAACAAGATTCGTTCTCGCAGGTTATGCGGATATGCTAGCTTCACGAAACAATCCCAACCGTAACTCTCAATTGTTGCACGGCGCAGATTTGCTTGCTTGACGCTGCATGTGCAGATGATGATCACAAAGCAGACCAACTCATCGACAAGGCCAGATGGTTGGCTTCGAGTGAATCAGAAAAGCAAAGTGTCAAATTCGTCAAGAAGAACATTGCCGAGAGCAGGCGCTACGAAATCGAAGCAAAAGCAGCTCGGGTAATCAACGAGATCCATGCTTTGCTTTGTCTCAGTACTTTGCTATCCGCAGGAGCAATACAAAAGAATGATAGAGGATCAGTACGCATCATATCTCGCATCGAAAACTTCGAAAGGGAAGAAAAGCGGGAAGAAGAAGTAACAGACGATGCAGCTTTCACATTATTCAGAAATAGGTCAAGAGCCCTCTTAACCCTTTTGCATTCAGTCCTTGGAGAAATTGTGTTCCACATTCTCTCAGCTCCCAAGACCTAGACAGTGACTGAAGATATTCTTTCTACTTCACAAAAAGTTACTTAGATGAGTCTTTCTACTTCCCAGAAAGCTGCTTGGCCCTTCTGTTCTGTTACTTTTACATACCAGAGGAGAGGAGAGGTTGCAATGTTTCACTTGGACTGAACGAGAGCATCCACCTTGCGTGACGCAGTCAAACCTTGACGGCTGGAGTATGATGTAGGAGCAGAGCCTCACCTTGATGTTGAAGAGATCACACTGCACAGGCATGTCCAGCTCCTGGTGAGAAGCGATAAGAAAGCGGCCCTCATCTCTCCCTCATCTTACATAGAACGGATTCTTCAGAACGTAGTCGGAGAATCTGCAAACACCATCATGAGCTCTTGCCTCGTGCGAAGCGATGTGCTAGTCACATGATGTAGATCTGCTTCAGCAATGCATCCAGGGCTACAACCTTTGGTTCTGCGAGCATAAGAAACTTGATTCCTGAACAATCTTGAATTGGAAATTTGATCAGGAGAAACGTGCATGCCTGTTGGGCTCTGATAGCATTCCAATCGAAAGCTGTCCGCTTCCAAAGTTTCTATGCCCGTTGGCGGCCCTACTGGAGTAAGTCTTCCGGCTATCGCGTGCATGCTTTCAAAGAATTTCAGCACACATGACATTGAAACGTTGGTCTCAAAGACCTGTGAAACGTCGAGGCGAGTCGCAGGCAATCATTCACATTCAACGGTGCTATGTCCTGCGAGAAATGCTGCACTAAAGAGTGACGGAAGAACATCATTTTGATACAGGTTACCCTGGTATATATGAGTCCTCCTGCTTTGTTGATGATAAACAACGTCAGGCAACCTGAAGGCATGCTTCACAGCCGTAAAGTGCGCTTAGTTTGCCAGCTGGTTGCAAAACAGTGCTCGAATCACGTCTTGTAAGCTGCAGGACCTAGTGTCTGCCATGGACACGGATTTAGCCGCCATGACGCATCATGTGCGCACATACCTCTCCTCGAGGCAACTGGCCAACCAAGCAGACTGCATGTTTCCCTTCTCAACAGCGCACCGGTATCTAAACCCAACCTAAACCATACTAGGTGGGTCCGGTATACTGTTAACAGTTAAATTCTTTCGGGCCTTATTTTACTGTTAAGTTAAACAGTTAGCATGAAAAGTGTTCCGGTATACTGTTAACAGTATTCCAGCAAATTTTCGTTTTCGTCATCAATTTTCAAAATATGCCTCCAAAAGTGTGAAATTATCATGGCGGTCCATGAAAAAATGTGTGCAAGATGCTATGCTTCCGAACGCAGATCAAGGTGCTTCCGATGCCAATGTCGAACACAAGGGCAACCGGAACAGATCTCTAAGTTTAAACAAGTGAGCTGGCATGGGCTTAAACGATGATAAGAGCTCGGTAAGAATGACTTTATTACAGACAAACTATAGCTTTCAAAACCATGACCAATGCACATCGTTGACGATGTAAAGTCAGACAAACATACCAAGTTTGAATACACCGACTGGGAAATTAGAATTTGCGACATCATCAGCTTCACATCTGCGAAATGGTGTTCACCTTGAGCCGACATTTCCGAACTCGGAAGGACATCGCTATCACCTCATGTTTGAGTCATGACAGTCAGTCTTCGTTGCGACCCTCCTCATGACAGAGTCCGTCTTGGTTGCGTATTTATGAGTGTCTGAGAGACCTGTTGCTGTCCCTGGAATCATCAGTGCTAGCTTCTGAATAAACTTGGATAGCTATGATCCAAGTCGATTGACAGCAGCAATACATCGGCTCTTGACGTGAAATCTTTCAACGTGATGCATTGAGAAAGTGCACTTTACGGTGGATTGTATGCTATCGATGTGTATCATAGCATAACCCAGTAAGAGGAGCATTGCTCTTGATGATCAGCGCGTTGGGGGCGACTTATGCCGCCGCAGTGCGGGAGGGGCAGCATGGAGCCAAGGCGGGTCGGGGGGGGGGCTCACCAGGGGAGTTTAAAAATCTGACTTTTAAATTTAACTAACCGCGATGAAACAATCGCGGTGCTTAATTTGATCGGATTTGAAGTTTAAAGACTTAACCATTAACTGTTAACAGTTAGATGAAAACCGTTGAAAAACGGTTAACTGTTAACAGTTAAAATTTGTACCAGAGCCCTAACTGTTAACAGTATACCGGACCCACCTACTGAACCTTCACTAAACCCTCCCCCTCTAAATCAAGCTTTTGCAGGGTAGGGTACTGCTCAGTTATAAGAGGGGTGGTATGAGGGCAATTGGGGGTAGGGTGATCAGCTAGGGGGTGGGCTTCAAGATGGCACGTCACGATGAGATTGAATGTGAAAATGGAAGACCAGAAAGTTGTGAAACAGACAGACAGACAGACAGACAGACAGACAGACAGACAGACAGGCAGGCAGGCAGGCAGGCAGGCAGGCAGGCAGGCAGGCAGGCAGGCAGGCAGGCAGGCAGGCAGGCAGGCAGGCAGGCAGGCAGGCAGGCAGGCAGGCAGGCAGGCAGAGGAAGGGAGGGCTTGGGTAGCGAGGAGGTGGAGTGGGGAGGGAGAACAACGGAGAAACGACGGTAGAAGAAAGTAGGGAGAGCTTGGGTGGGGAGATGGGTTGAGAGCATTGGCTGCAGGTGCAGCTGAACACAGAGACAAACAGAAAGAGATAAAACGTGGAGGATGCTTCGAGGAGAATGAGGCTGAGATCTGTGTCTGTCATTAAGCCAGAACAGCAGATTGATCCGACTCGACGTAGATAGATCAGATTTCATTGCATGACCTTGATGAAAGATACATGTTACAGAGCAATGGCAAAGGCCTGACAGCTGATGAGTGGCTTGTTTGCTCCTGACAATTTGTTGTCAGAATGTTTTGAATGTGAGGTAGAAACCAGTCATGGGGGATATTCATGTACACACGGCTCCGCATGGGTATGAAGAGGAAGGTTACTTGGTGTGGTACTGGGGAGATGTCGCATTCACTCTCATCTACGCCGGCCTTGGTGAGCCATACGATTCCATCATCCTTGTCCTGCCTCAAAATTCTCCTCCTCCCCCACCCCCCAACGCCCCCTTTCTCCTCCTCTTCCGTCAACGTTGCCGCCACCTCTCCATCCCCCCATGGTCCTGTTCTTGCACGCTCTTCTCTTCCTTGGCTCCTCTCTCTACCCCGCCTCTCTTCTCGGCTCGTCGTCCCCGCTGCTCCTGATCCTTTTTGCCCAGCTGTCGCAGAGCTCTACGTGGTCCATTTCTCCACACAGAGGCGGAAGGAGGTCCCATGGAGGGAGTCAGGAGGAGGTCAGGCAGGAGTCGCTTGCGCTTATGGTCACTGTGCGACAGGGATGGACTGGTGGCGCAAGAAGTTTCTCTTCCTGTGCATGCTCCTTCCTCTCACCGTGTTGAGATCTTGGAATTTATGGCTGTGGGCCGAATTCAATGGCGAAGCGGGTAACCTCCTCCTCCTCCTCCTCCTCCACCTCCTCCTGGTTTGACTCGGAAGTGTCCTATGTCCCCCACCCTGCGAGAACGCTGAGCTTGACTTCCGCTTCGTTGAGAACTTTAGGTCCTGTTCCAAGAGCCCGTCACTTGACACTCCATGG